CCTGTTTGCTGTAGAGGATGTTGATCAGGTGGTTCTGCAGTTTCTTTGAGAGCATGTGGCACAAGCTGTCAGCATAGTCTGTGTGGTATGTAGATTGTAATGGATTTTTTACCTTTAGTCCTTTTGGTATGATGTCCATCTGTTTTCATTTGGAAAGGAAGATGATGTCTGTCTGTATCTGTACGAGTTTTTTCACGAAGTTGATTGACTAAAACATAGCCTTAACTACATAGCCTTAGACTGAAATGGACTAGATGTGTAAATGGAGCGTATTTTCACCTGCTTGCTCACTCCCTAGTTCACTGTTTCCAGGTGGCTTGTTACACCGCTGAGTGGTTAAAACAGCAGAGTACTTACAGCGATGGCAATGGAAGGTTATTATTTTTAAGTAACAGGAATGCCCTAAAAAAATCGGCAGCTTTCCCATAAATATTTGCTTTTCAAGGAGCTTTTTTACTGTCTGCATTTCCTGGTTGCCATTTTTGAACTTCACTCCACATGCATGGGGGCGTGGGGGGGCAGGAAGGGGAGGAGCAGGATGTCAAGGTGCTGGCATACAATCTGCCATTAGTGGACGCATACCGCTAGCCAGGGCTTCTAATAACTTTGGCACTGGTTCATAGAATGGAATTCCCTCCCATTCCTATATTAATGAACATTTAAATGGATCCAGAAACTTACTAGTCTCTAGGGCATTTCCGTGCCTTCCGTTTCTGCTGCCAGTTCCATGGTGGGCTGTTCGGGAGTAGGAGGGGGGCATCAAAAAGCTCCTTCAAGTATGCCCCACGATGTACTGCTGCTGTCCGGCTCCAAAGCCGCCTCTAGGACTAGTGTCTTCTGTCAGATCTCAACTGGACTCTGGGGCCAGCTGGTTCCATTTCAGCTGACCAGATCATCATGCACCATCGTTGGCCCCATGCTCAGTGCAGTACCCAGCACCCGGTCAAACTCCTCATAAAATGGTCATGATGCTGGCGAGTTGCCTGAGGTGAGGTTCTGGTCCCTGGTTTTCCTGTACTCAGTCTTGAGCTGCTTAAGCCACTCCCTACACTGGTCCCCAGTCTGGTAAATTTCCAGGGCTGCCATCTTCTTCCCTATTTGCTGGAATGCATGGTCATTCCTGATCCTCTTACTAAAATCCACAGTTTTGCTGGCATTGCCCCAGAGATTAACCAAAATCTGGCTGTGCTTCTGTGTCCGTGAAGCAATGCTCTTTTTAAAGGACTTCTTCTGGTACATCTCCACTAGAAATGCAGAAGGTTCTCCAAAGGCGCGTTTGCAGCTCACCGGTCAGAAAACAATGGAAGGGTTAAACTCTCATTCGCTGCATTGCTGGGCTACAAGGTCAGTTAATTCCATTTTCCTGGAGTCGATTAGTGATTCATGGGATGGAGAGGACAAAAGAAGTTGGCCCATGGGATAGTTCTGGCGGAATCCCAGGACCCAAGTCGGGGTGGGGCTGCGTCTACACTGCAAAGCAATAGGGCTTGAACCCTGGGTCCCAGCTTGACCAGGGCTCGAGCAATGGGAAGTAACCACACAAACACAAGGTCCTACCTAAAGCCTTACTTCCTGTAGTACAGTTGTCAAAATTCAGTGGCTGTTTGGTGGTCTCAAGCCTATTGTTATGGGATGAGTACATATCACCACAATCCACACACTCTGTATTACTGCAGAAAAAGTCGGATAGGCGGCCTGAACTACTATGGTCATTGAACTGCTATGGCGGTTTTCACTGCAAAGATAACTCAGGGTATAGCTCAGTTGATCCTGTTGACTTGACCTGGGAACATAAATCATCAGTTGCTAACATGACCGCATTGTAGGGTGGACAAAGACTAGTAACGTTTGAGTACCGCTAGGTCTCCAATGCCATCCACAATTCCCCCTAGGCTGTCTCATCTTGTCATCTACCAGTTCCCTGCTTGCTGGACTGGAAGTCCTCCAGCAATTCATATAGGCCAGTTTGGCATTTGAACCTAATGTTTACACTCAACTTCCGAGACCAGCAACAACGTTCTCCAACTCTGCCACAGAGCTCTGTTTGATTCTGTTTGAGAAGGGAGACCAGGAAAAGACATCTCAGCACACTGTCATCTGGCCCAAGGCTGACACCAAAGTTCTGACAGGTCTCTGGTGTGTGGCCATGAGGGACCATGATTTTGGGACCAAGTCCTGCAATGCCAAACTTTATGCTGATCGCTCCAGAGCAGGGTTGAGTCACATAGGTGAGGTATGAAGTAGAGAAGCTTGCACTGTCACTGCCTATTCTGTCTTCGCTTTTCCAGAATTGTCAGGCTAGCTTCTCTACTACTTTTAATAAGCACTGAATTCACTGAAGGAAGATAGAAAATATTGTTAGTCCGTTAAAGAGAAGTGAAGCTCCCGAGCAAGTAGTGTGAGTTGACAGGATTGAGAGAATGTTTGTTACCATTTTAATTATATATAGATTTTACTAACTTTTTTCTGACTACAGAAAAATTCCAGAAGGGAAAAGCCATTTATATTCAACAGATCATTCAACAAATAATCTCTTTTATAATGGAGCGAGAACACTGTGAAAGACATTCAATAGGTTTATCCTTTTCCAAAACAGTTCATTTATAGGTTGCCAGGTAACCAGAAGTCTTTGACTTTAAATAATTACTTCATTGGGATACAAAAAACCAGATCTCTCAGGAGCGGAAATGGCAGGAGCTATCTAAAATGAACAGCAGTCTTGCCAAATGCCCACTGAGTTGATCGTCAATACGCTCCCCCACAAAAGTGAAAGAAGGGATTTGATAAAATCTTCATTGGCCATATGAACCCAATTTCAGATACACATAGGAAGTATTTTGCTAGCAGATTACTAAATTGAATCTGCATATTCTCACTCAAGGTCACCCTGTCACTCAACAAGTAAATCATACTCTTGAGCTGCTTCAGGAAAAACAAGTGTACAAAGGAAGCGCTGCAAAGGAAAACTGTAAATAGGAACTATTGTCAAACTATTACCTGCTACTGAATCTTCTCTTTCTGGTTAATAATTAACTCTGCTGCATGAATTGTCCCTTTAATATTCAAAGGAGGGAAAGTGTCATTGGGCCATGGTATTTCCCTAAGTAGTACAACTCTTGCGGGCTAGGGATGCTCTGTTTTACAGTACCTGATTCTCTTCTCACTTTTAGATAAGTATATCCCCATGGGCTTCACTGAAGTTACTGCTGATCAGACTGTTTAAATGCGATCAGCCTTGGGTCCAGAGGACTAGATTCACAAGGGGATTCAGATGGCTCACTGTTGGGCACTTAACTCCAACATTTAGATGCCACTGGCCGATCGTTGACCTGCTTGACACATAACTCATGTTTAAACTCCAGGAGGATTCACCAAGTAGGCGTGCTCAGATTATGCCAACTCTCCATGGAAGACAATTGAGGAGGAACTGATAATGATGGAGATGCCCTTCTTAAACACAAATAGCTCAGTGGTTTGCACACTCACTTAGGATGTAGGCACCCCAGATCCAAATCCCCGTTCTGAATCAGGTAGAGTATTTTCCCAGCCAAACAACACAGAACCTAGCACAATGCGGTTCTGGTCCATGACAGGAGCCTTTAGGGGCTATGGTAATGCAAATAAATAAAATGTAATCTTATACCCATGTTTTCAGATCATGAGGACAAGAAATAAGGGGACAGATTCCCCAAGGAGCCAGGGCAGTGCTTGGCACACCTGGAGAAATGGACCAGCACAGATGGCTTTATGCCACCTGTCTGACCCTAAGATTCTGGGGGCCGCCAAAGAATGAACCAGCCCATGATGCCATTTAGAACAGGCTCAAGGCCGCTTTGACATGCACTGATGGATAGAAGCTCCCAGCGAGCTGCTCCACAAACCAAGCTTACCCCCAATCACCACCTAGACTGATGTGGGGTGGCGGCTATGCCAGCCTTACACCTGCTGAATCCTCCATGACTACCATTTTCAGTCCACTTTTGTTGCTGCAGTGGTGCAAGGGGGACTGACCAAGGACAAAGGATCTGGTTCAAGATTTTCTTTAGTTAATTTACTGCTCATAAAATGTTTGATCGACAGGTCTGGAGACCTTGAGGGTGTAGTAAGTTCTCTAATCAGAGGACAGGGACAGCATGGGCAGAGTCAGGGCAAACTTCTAGGTCTGCTGGTGTGCCTTTAATCTTGACTCTCAGGGACCAATCTAAGGGAGTGATAGTAGCTCAGTCTCTTTGTCAATTCAATTCTTGGCCCCTCCTGCCATTTACCAACTAGGGTATCAATTGCAAAGCAGAGTCCTGTCAACTAGAGACTGGGCTGAGACCAATGATTTACTTCATAGAGCCTCCACAGCAGTCCTCAGTGGGAGCAACTTTCAATCACTACTGGACTAGGTTTGTGTTTTTGTTGCAGACCTTTCCTACCACAGTCATAGTTTTAAATGTTCTCTTCATTTGAACAATATTTTGCTGCCATGACTTTTCCAGCATCACTATCTGCCTTTTCTAGCCAAAATGCTCAAACACAATTGGCTTTGTTTCCAGAGTTTTGTCACATCACCTTAGCACTGTGTTATACTCAAAAACACTTTAATAAAAAGGTCAACCAATGTCCAAAGTTCACAGTAATCTGACAGTTTGCAACAGTGTCTATCGGAAAAGTCTTATCTACGACTCTGCACTGAAAGATGACCATAGTAAAAAGTATACTGTTTGGAATTCTGCTACACAATTTGAAATCCCATTTTGTTATTGTTTCGGAATTTGCATTAACAACTTCATTAGCATCAATATGAGAGACTCTTGTTTGTCATGCTTCGGGCATTCCAGTGGTTCAAGATCAATACTGATACGGAATATGCAACGTCTTGCATACTACCAAGACAACATTAATGATTATAGTAAAATGATAGGATGGCAAATGGAAAATAGGATTCAGTTCTTGGAGGTACCAGCTCCCTACTTGGAATTACCTGCAAAAATATGGATCAGATGTCTACTTACTGGAGGGATTTGTTGTCTTTAATTAATCACTTTAGAAGAGTGATGAAGGTGGGGAGGGTAGGAGCATCTGAAAAAGCTCCTCAGGGTAATCCGTAATTCAACGGGGGGTCGGATCCAAAGCCCAGTGAAGACTATGGAAAGATTCTCATTGACTTCAATGACTGCTGATGAAACTCATACTATACACAATTTCTATAGAGATGGAGAAAAAGGAACATAGAAATGTAACACTGATCTATTTGATAGCAATTAATTTTCCAGTTGAAGCATGAACGAAAGCTTACAGATCTTTTTCAAGCATTAGGCCCATTACTAGGGAGATGGTAAAATTCTTAATAATAATGCAGAAAAGTCAGAAGTGTTTGATAAATACTTACATTTTGTATTTGGAAAGAAGCAGGATGCTGTACTCTTTTCACATGAAGATGATGAAGTACTTTCCAGTCCCACTAGCACCTGAGGAAGCTGTTAGACAACATCTATTAGGGATAAATATTTTTAAATCAGTAGGTCTACCATTCCATAGGAAATAACCCTTGAGGTTTTTTTTTAAAGTGATTTTTTTTTAAGTGGGACAATGTTAGCTAACAAAAAAATTCCTAAAAGTACTGAGGAGCTCCCTGGTCTGTTAATGTTGTGCCAATATTCAAAAAAGGCACGTGTATTCATCCAGGTAACTACTGGCTGGTTAACCTGACATCAGTCCCAGGCAGAATAATGGAAAAGCTGATATGGAATTCAGCGGATACAGATAGGGATATAACTGATGCCAGTCAACATGGTTTTTTGGGAAATAGGTCTTGTCAGACACACCTGACTTCATTCTTTGATGAGATTAGAAGTGTGGCTGATAAAGGTAATTGCATACATGTAACATACTTAACTTTTATGAGACGTTTGATTTAGTATCACACAATATTTTAATTTAAAAACCTAGTACTATACAATATCAAAAGATTTTTGAGTCAAAGTGGACAAGCAACTGAACTTCCAGGGTGACGATGTGTCAAAAAGGGCCAATGTGATTCCTGAATGTATAAAGAAAGGAGTATGAGTAAGAAGCAGATTTTACCTCTGTGTATGGCACTGGTGAGATACCAATACTAGAATGCTCCACCTATTTCTGGTGTCAACATTTTTAAAAAGGCTGTTGAAAAATTGGGAGAATTCATGAAGAGCCACAAAAAATGACTGGAGGACATGCCTGTAGCTCACGAAAGCTCATGCTCAAATAAATTGGTTAGTCTCTAAGGTGCCACAAGTCCTCCTTTTCTTTTTGCCTTACAGTGAGAGGCTTAAAGAGCTAAATTTGTTTATTTTATTGAAAAGAAGATTGGGAGGTTAGTTGATTACAATTTATAAGTACCTTCATGGTGGGGGAAGGTATAACTAGAATCAAATGTTGAAAACTGAAGGCAGACAAATTAAAAGTGTACACCTAAATTCTAACGTGAACAATGAGGGTGATTAACTATTAGAACAAACTACCAAGGGAAGCTGTGGATTCTTCATTTCTTAATGTTTTCAAATCAAGACTGTTTTAGATGTAACAGTCCCTTCTAGCCTTAAATCCTATGAATGAAAAAGTAAAACGTCCTTTGAAAACAGTTTAGATACTACTTGAGTGAGATCTGCAGCATTTGGCCTTGTGTATGTAACAGGATATATATTGTTCTTGCTTTCTGGTACAAATCCTGCCCTCAGGTGTTGCTGTGTACATGCATCATATAATTCGCAAGCTATTTAATCCTTATTAGTGCACTATTTCACATTATGAAACCACAATATGGAAGAAAAAGAGAGAGAATTAGACAAACCTTTATGGGAAGAATCTTATGGAATTTAATAGGCAATTACATTCATGCTATAGAACTTCAAAACAACATGTGGAATTCTGTGGCAGGTGTATACGTCTCTGTTAAATTCCATCAGTTTAAAATTCTACAAAAGGATTTCAATCTCTATTTTCTGCAATAGGTTTTTAGAGTAATTTCCATGGAAATGCATGTCATTTCTAATCCTGGTGTATTGGTTTCATCCATTTATGTTCCACAGGGGATTCTAGTAGGGACAATTTTTGAGAATCATTGAGCTATTCAGCACTCACTGTACGTGGGGAAGAATTTCTTCTCTCCTCACCAGAGTGTCACCTGCAACATTAAATCTTTATTAGAGTACAAAATAGTAAACACTGAAGACAGATCTGGTGCTACAAAAGCTTTTGATTTAAACAAGAGAAGGGCAATTTTGTGAAAAGAATCCCATCTGTAGAAGTGAGCAGTAATTTCCAATGTTTGAATTTTTCCACAGGAAATGGCCCTGGTGGTTTTTTTTTTTAAAGAGGGACAATGTTAGCTAACAAAAAGCAATAGCACACAGGGCCCTTCTTGCACAGGGACTCCTGTGAGGTACGATCCTGCTCTGATGGAAGTCCTTGGCAAAGCTCCTATTGACTTCAGTCGGGGCAGGAGTATGCTACCTAAAGCAGCCACAGGAAGGCAACTGCTTGTCAGTCCCAGCTTGGGCACTCTGGTTTTACAGCTTAGAACAGAGGTGGGCAAACTACGGCCCATAGGCCACATCCGGCCCACGGGACCCTCCTGCCTGACTCCTGAGCTCCTGGCCCGGGAGGCTAGCCCCCAGCCCCTCCCCTCCCCTGCTGTTCCCAGCGGGGGGCAGTCAGGAATAAGAGGAGGGATTAGATGGGGCTGCGGGGGGGGGGCAGACAAGAGACAGGGAGGGGTGGATGGGGCAGGGGTCCTGGGGGGGGCCGTCAGGGGGTGAGAAGCAGAGTGGGGTCAGGCCACGCCTGGCTGTTTGGGGAGGCACAGCCTTCCCTAACCGGCCCTCCATACAATTTCGGAAACCCAATGTGGCCCTCAGGCCAAAAAGTTTGCCTGCCCCTGGCTTAGAACAAAAGGCTCAAATGTTGTAGGGGACAGCAAGCTCATGAGCACTGCAGCAATCAAAAGAGAAATGAAACAGTGCTGCTTTGCACGTTGTGGTAATGGAGAAGGGTAGAGTCACAACACTGTATTCTGAAGCGTTTCCATGTGGGAGGCATGTTACCTCAGTCACAGCAAAGTGAGCAAATGAAACCTTCATAATTTCACTTTGCAAGAGGAATTGGCTGCTCTGACCACATTCAATCACAGTTCACAATCCTCCACTGGCTTTTTACTGTGGTGTTTTTCTCCATAAGGATTGAAGAGCTTATGTCTAGCACTTAAAATTTATTTTTACTTAAACGTTGCATAATGCTGACACAGCAACCACAGCTTGATGTTAACTGCAGCCTGTAGCTCCCTGCTGTCTTGAGTCCCCCCCCTTGCCAAATTGGAGGATGACTGTCGGTCTTTGCAGCCATATCCAAGGACCTACCCAATCTCAATCTGATGTTGACTTTCAATAGAATTATTATTATTATTATTAGTGTTGTCACTTCTCACGATTTTCTTGTAACCGAATTTTGGCTGGGCTAGAGCCAGCCTTATGATGATGCAAGAAGCTCTCCCCTCATGGGAATCTGAGCCCTGTCAGGGGCAGAACTCCCTCTCGTTTGGCTGCTTGCCCCCCAAGCCTACCATCCGGGGCTGAGCAACCAATCAGAGCTGCTGTCTGAAGAGCTCTCTCCCTCTTCCTCAGCACCCTGAAGCCACTCTTACAGGACTGGGGGGGAGGGGAGAGGAGGGAGCCGCAGAGGTGGTGGGTTTAATAGGCCAGGGGAGACTAAGCCTCCCCTGGAGCAGCCGCCGCCGACAGACAGCTGGGCCGTGGTGGCCCTGTCTGCACTCTGCCTCTTCCTGTCCCTGGTCTTCCCCTTCCCTAAACCTCCACCGCCTGCCGCTGCCTGGCGGAGTCCCTCCGCTCCTCTCCTCTCCTCCAATCCACCCCCCCGCCCCGTTTCTGGAGGTCCTCGCTGCTCACCGCGTACCTCCTCTCCTCCCCCCCCCCCCCACGAGGCCGCTCCCACCCACTGCTCCCTCTGTCCCTCTGTGGGGGGGTGGGGGTGTCGGGGGGGAGGAGAGAAGGGACGCGGAGGGCAGAAGCGGCGGGCGCCTCGGGGGAAGGGGTGCGTGGTGGAGCGGAGGGACGTGGGGAGTGGCGGGCAGCGGGGGCGTTGCAGGGGAAGGGAAGAGTCGAGGAGGGATGCGGGGAGGCGAGCGGGGAGGGGGCCAAACGGGAGTAGGGGCGGGACCCGGGGCGGAGCGAGGGTGGAGTATGGGCAGGGCCGTGGGCGGAAGAGGCAGGACAGGGTGCTAGCCTCCCCGAGGGGAAGTTTCACCTGCCACCCATGGCAGGAAGAACCCAGCAGCTCCAGGAGGCTCCATTTACCCTCCCCTCCTAGGAGCAATGGGGACAGCTCCTCTGCTCCTCTCCCTCCCTTCCTGCAGCATTTAACCTGGGAAGCGGGAGAGGGGGCTCAGCCCCCCTGCAGGCTTGGGTGTGGTGAAGAACACAAGGAGAAGCAGAGGGGAGGCTGGAGGGGCTGGGGCTGAGCCTGAACTGGTGGGGGGGGGTGTCAAATTGATGTGGGGACAGGATAGATTTGTAGAGTGGGGGGTTGGAATTCATTGCTGGAGAGGGGATGGGCAGATGTGGAGGTGAGAACTCCTTCAACAGGGGCCGAAATCACCTGAGCCAATACATTCGGGAGGCTGGACAACACGAAGTCTCCCTCTCGCACGCGCACACACACACAATGGGCAGGGGGAGGTCAAACATTAGACAGGGAGGGCATTGTCTGTCTTTTTAATGTTTTTAAAATATCTCATGGTTTTTAGGATCTGACTCATGATTTTTTATCTCTTATTATTTATTATTGCTATTGTTGTAGCACCTGGAAGCCCCAGTCATGAACCTGGACCCCTTTGTGCTCGGCGCTGTACAAACACAGAATAAAAAGACAGTCCCTGCCCCAAAGCCTTAACCTACTTAAGTGCTTGTGGAAATCCCATTGGGCACTTATCTGCATCTTTAGGCATGTAAATGCCTTTGTAAATCTCACCATAAGTTCCTGGGAGCAGTGACCTTGTCCTTATAGTTGTCTAACGCATATAGTATACTGTTGGATTGTCATTATACAAACAATAAATAACAAAGACAGAAACAATTGAGACAAAGCAAGAGGCGCAGAGAGCAGAAAGTGAGAACAGAGATAACGTAGAGGATTTCCACATGAACCCTGTGCAATTTATCCTACAGAAGTTATACAGTCCTAATGGTTTTGCTACAGCTGGTGTCAGTTTCTGTATCATTCCTACATATGGTAAAAGAGCTCCACTTCCATGGTACGTGAAATTACTACACCTTGCCAATCCCAGAATCTGCCCCAACAGCAAAAGCGTGCTATTTTTATTCCAGTAACTACCAGGCCTGGAAATGGTATCAAATATAAGTACGTATAAAAGCAATGTAGGGTTACATACCCAGTCACTGGTTGTGTGGGGCTTCAGCTTATT